TTGGGCCATCCATCATCATCACTCCAGTCTTCTGTATTCAAGTCTCTCATAGCGTTGTCTTCGATAGTGGGGGCTTCGGGATCCTGTTTCTTCGACGATGTTGCTACTATGGCCTTTCCGAGCAGCAGGGCGGATGGTGAAGGGAAGTCACTGAAGCTGTCGTTTCCGTAATCACTTGAGGATTCTAGTATGTTCTTTGAAACTGGACAGCCAGAGTCATTTCCTGGCTTATTGTTTTTGTTGGTATCCGTGTTTACTGAGGATGGTTTGTGTGTTGAGACCGGGGTTTCTAGTAAGTGTCTCTGTGCTTCGGAATCAGAAGGGTTACTCGCTTGGGTGGTAGTGTCCTTTTTGGCTATTGTTGCTGAAAGGGTTGTCTGACTGAGCCCCGCTGTCTTCTTACCCTTGTCCTTATCATCGTCACCTGGTCGCTTCTTGTTTGCTTTGGGTGGCTTCTCGAGTCCTTCTCGACAGCAGAGATGCTTACATCTGCTTGCAATTAGTTGTTTTCCTTTGGACATGGGATCATTGTAATACGTTGTCTTATCTTTGCACCGATGGTTGCAGGCCCATCGACCGTTTTCGAGTCTGACAGCCTCTACTGTTTCAACTATCTGATTGTTGCTTTGATTCGGGCCCTTACTCGTATTTCTTGGAAGCTGTGCTTTGTCTTCTGGCGATTGTGGCAGCTTATCGACACACGACCAGTTCTCGGCTTGGTCTGCAGATGATTCGGGTCAATCCGTTGAATGCCCATCTTCACTAGGAGCAATCCAACTTACCATTTTCTAGGAAATCCCCGAACAAAAGATCGTCACTGTCCCAAATGTTGATATTTCGGGCGACGGATTTGGTCTGGGAGGTGTCGTTACTGCGTCGGCGAGAGATGTTAGGTTTGGGCCTTTCCGACACTACATCGGACGGAGGATCTAGCTGAGACGGAAACAAGCTTGCAGGGAGATCAGGTTTCAACTGTGCGGATCGCATAGTCCCAGCTAAGATCGTCAGCAGTCATGTTACATGACGGTCAGGGGCATTCCTGGGTACCTATATCGTCACACATTGCGTAGCACGTCACCGATTGGCCGGCGCTTTTCAGCTCCGCACTGAAGAGTATTTCCTGACCACTGGGCATCTTACTGGCACTAAATCGAATTAGAGTCGTTGAAGTGTGCTTGGTATGTCATCGATAATACTTGCCTTATGCGTCGGAAGTCGAGCAAACGACCATCTGAAGTACCCGCCATGAAGCAGACATACACGGGGCGACGTTGGAAGTATGTCGGACATTTCTCGTTCATGAAGGCGACCTCGCTTCTTATATTGACCTGTACAACTGTACCAGTCTTTGTTTCCTGCTACTGTATCAGCAAGAGATCTTAAAGGCTTCTGGTATAATACCTTGCCAATCATCTTGACGGACACTCGAAGCTTGGGAAAATCAACAAGCCGCTCCAACAACTTCCTCCCGAACGGGGGATTTCTGCTCAAGATCATATCAATTTGATGAGGTTCACAAAGCTCCAGTGCTTCAATGCTAGTGATTCCTGACGACGCTAGTTTTCGAACGGCAACCACACCAATTTGTTCGATCTGCTTCATCTGAAGTGGGGAGTCATCCCAGACTTTGGCACCGAAGCTCCTTGCAAGCTCTAGTGCATTTCGTAGCGTGAAAGAGTCTTCAAGGCCTACCTGACAGTCAATTATACATCGGATGAGCCTGTTGATGTGAGAAAAGACGAATGTCTTGTCCTGTTGGAAAGTGAACCTGTGCTTCTGGAATGGTTCGCCATCTGGCAAATCAACAGCACCTAACTCGGACTGGATCAACAGTGATATCTTGTGTGCGGAAAGTGCTATATCCACGTTCACTGGGAACCGAATTGCATTGGAGCGATTAATCTCTTTATATAGGGACTTCTCGCCCGCCTTGAGGCGTATCTCATGGAATTCATCTGCTCTCGAAATTACCGACAGCTATATAGATGGTTAGTCTTGAGTATGCCCTGCGGCAGAAGTACAATTCCTTACAATTTGAGGTACGGTTGAATGAGGCTTCAAAGTAAGCAAGGTCTTCATCGTCTCGAAGCGCACATAGTATCGCGCCATGGCATCACCAAACTTGGTGGATTTGAGACTATCGGCGGAGACCAGTCCACAATCCTGAAGAAGCTTTATATCTCTCTGACATATCTGTCGGAGCATGTCCTCTTCATCTTCTTTATCAGCGTCTTCCTTCAGTCGATAATATGTCGGGTTTCTTTTCAATCTAATGAAGAAAAAAGTACCAGCGAGCCATCTGATAGCAGATTCGATGTCTGTGATGTTGCCAAGTCCGATTTCTGCATTTAGATGGTCAGTAAGATTCAAATGTAAGCAGCTTTCAAGGCTCTCAGAGCCAGACACGAGCCTCTCATAGTGAGCTTCGCGTGCTTGTCTTGTCATTATTACCGCTGTGGCACTGCCATCGAACTGTGGTCTACCGGCGCGCCCTAGCATTTGCATGATTTCTAGGTCGGAATATTCTTTGCAGCCTCCCTCTTGCCACCCGACTGTTCCTTTTATTATGACAAGATGGCAGGGCATATTAACACCAACTGCAAGAGTTGATGTGCAACAAATTATGCTAACCTGTCCATTGAGGAACCCTGTCTCGACCGAGCGGCGATCAATTGGATCAAGGCCAGCGTGATGGAAAGCTACTCCAGCAGCAATCGTGGCTACACAAGTTAATCTGTATCACCATATCTTGAGCGGAAAAAGTGGTACCTCTTAAGTCAACGCTCTGCACTTCCATAGACCTTCCTGGTCCCTTCCATAACCTAGCAGGAGGATTGGACATGGTCCACAAGCGTGTAAGCTCCTTCGCGGTAGCAACAGCGGAATTCCTCGTGCAGCAAAATATCATTATTGGCTTCTTTCGAGAATGAGATGTTATAATATCTGCAAGTCTACCGGAAGAACATCAATAGCAAACTCTTTTTTTTATGGGGACAACTTACTTAGAGGTACACATCTTGTCGAATGCGAAATCGTTGGCGTGAGACTGGTAGCCATACACGAACTTCTGCAACTTCACAGGACGAAAGTCTTCCCCAAAATGCTCTCTGTGGGCAGGCACGTGCTGATTTACTGAATCCCTACCTAGCCACGTTGCTATATCATCTGAATTTGGAACCGTAGCACTTAGAGCGATAAAGCGAACGTTCGACCCGTTTGCTTTCATGCGAGATACGACAGCCTCTAGGGTTGCACCACGCGCTTCCTTGAGGATGTGAACTTCATCAATGAGGAATAGCTTGACGAGCTGCATTAAGCGTGCATGGTCCTTCCACTTCCGTGTCATGCTGTCCCACTTCTCGGGTGTCGTGATGATCACTTGGCTGTTCTGAACACTCCTCAGTTGAGTGTGGTCTGTATCACCGGTCAACTCTGCACATTGCAGCCCTAATGTATTGAACTTTCTACTCCAGTCTCTGAACTTCTCGGAACAAAGAGACTTGGTAGGTGCCTGATATATCACTTTGAACCGTTCATCTTTGAGGCAGTTGAGTAGACGACATATTGCCAGTTCCATTATAGCTGTTTTGCCACTGCCTGTAGGTGCGGCAAGAACAATGTTGCTATCGGTCTTGTAGACCGATTGGAAACATTTTGACTGTACGGCATTGAATACGGGGAAGGGAAAGATCGACCGGTATTTATCTGGGAGCTCATGCACAGATATCAGGACAATTCCTCGAATTGAAACTGGAAGATGTTGTTGGAAGGGGCCTCTTTGCCGGTCTTGGCGGGTAACTGACGATATCTCAGCAGAGTGAGAAGCCAGTATTTCACGGTTGGAGGAAGTATGACATTCAACATCGTTCTCGAAGTCATGTTCGGAAGCATATGCATTCGCCCTACCAGCTCGCATCCTTATCAATGGACTAGATGGCGATCTCACACCCGTATCCGAAGAACTAGAGCCGAAACTTTGACGTGGAGTGGCATGAGGACCCGCTGTTGTTTCAAGCCATGTTAGCTCGATCCTTCAGGGCTGGGATCCATGAACCTTATATCGAGCATGTGCTCTGACCTTGAAAGAAACGAGAAACCTGGTTATAGTCTGTTCTTTGGGGAGGCCTGGACAACGAGCTACGGTCTGCGAATGAACCAGCTGTCTGAGGACTCTGTCCTTGCTCATCCGATTGGGCCAGGAGTTCAAGGTCTAAGGTTTAGATGATCAGCCTGATCTAAATACTCTGAGATGGCATTGTGGGGTAGTTGATCGGCATACCAAAGGCATCCAGCTCTAGATCATCGTCCCGAGAAAACAACTGCAGCTCAGGCCGATAGCTCCTAGAGCCCTCTCTGGGTAGTCGATTGAACAAAGGTTCCTGTGCACCTTGGACTAGCCTTTGATCAATGATGGCACTTGGGTTTGATCGGCTGGGAGTAGGGAGTTGAGGAACGGCCCTACGCTTATAGGGAGCATTCCGACGGGCTTGAGGGATTGAACGATAAGTATTGTGCCGCATGTTAGATGGTGAGATGATGGAATCATACGATGGGCAAGACGCTGCCACATCCACGTTTACCACGGAAAGGTGAGAGGAGGTTGAACCAGAACTGGGTAGATGGGGAAGGGGAAAAGTCACCCGCTATGAAGCACGTGGGGTCTTCTACGGCCAGCATACAGCACGCGGACAGAAGTCAAGATTGATGATACATGTAGCAATTGACTTAAAGCCTTTTGGATTTGCCGGTCTTCAATTCCTAGGAAAGTAGATTGCTCAATGTGAAAATGATCCGTGGGTTGTAGGATTGCGAGTCGAAAGAATCAACAACGAAAGAAAATGATGTAAATAAAGTACAAGAAAGTGGAACCTATATGACGAAAGCAAAAGGGGCATCATCGCTTCTATCCATCCTTATTTACTTCCCGGAAAAACATGATACAGCAACGCGAAGGTCATCCCTACGCGGAGATTGCGAAGATAATGTCCGCAAATTGTAGTTCAGTGGTCTCGTGAGTGCTTTTCGAAATATCCACCGCTTGGGGTGCGGCCAGCGCGTACGTGGCCCGGGGATGTAGGCCTGGACGTCGAAAGCCCATCAGTAGAGAGGAAGGGGGTTCCAGGAAGCTTTATGGAGATCTCATTAGGCGATGGGGAAGCTGGTGAAGCATCCCCACTCTTGCTTTCCTTCTCGTAGCGATCCACGCGGATCGGAGGCGGACGGAAGGTTTGGCGCTTAGCCTGGGCAGATGCAGAACTTGCATCCTCGCAAAGGCAGGTAACCACCAATACTGCGAATGATCCCAGGAGATACTGTGAAGATTAGCACCTACTCATAAATGAAGGAATACGGTCACATACATTGGCAGTGAGTTCAAACTCAAATAGCCAAACGCTAGCCAGTGTTGTGAGTACAATACTCGCAGCCATGGCCATGTTCTTGCCATCCCTGAATGCGTAACCAATGTAAAAGGACGTGGCAATGCCACCAATAGCCTGAACGACAACAGTGGACCAGACAATCCAGTTGTAGCCCTCGAAGAAGCCATTGGCAGCAACCTTCTCGCCATCCAAGAAAATAACCCCGATGAAAAGCGCCGGGAATATCGAATAGACGGACAACTGCACGTTACGGATCCAGAGCGATGTTGACTTGGCACTATCCTTCAGCACTTTCTCGAAGTAAACGCTTGCAACGCCAGAGGCGAGGCAGGCGCCAACTGTGGCCAAGAGGCCGACGGTAGCATTAAGTCTAGGGTTGGCGGTCATCATATCCTCCTCAATCCCCTCATAGGTTGCAGAACGCTTATGGAGGTTCTCGCGTCCTAGCTTGGACGCTTTCCACTCTTCCAGAGACCGGGGGAATGCAAGACGCGCAGTCTCGTCTTGGAGAGTCATATCGTCAGTGTTACCAATAGGCATCTGCACCAAAGCAACTCCCGCCAAGAGAAGAACCATGAGCCCCAATTTCCGGAGCGAGACAGGTCTCTTAAGCAGTACCAAGCTGGCTATAGCCACGACAATCAGTTTCAATTGGTACGATGCCTGGAAGGTGGCTGGCGGCAGATTCGACAGAGCGATGTACTGCAGCGAATTCGCAAGCGTATAGAGACAGGCAGGAATAGCAAGCTTCCAGCTATCACCGGAGAATATGGCAGTTGTGAGGGAGAAGAAAAGCGACGTCGCGGGAACCGAAGGAGGGGCTGTCTTCGAAACCTCGTACAGCGCCATGGTCAGGGAGATAGCGAGCTTTACGACCTCATTGAAGAAAACGGTAGTAGACGTTAGGTAACGCTTGCCGCCAGCCGGCGACATAACTCTGGAATAATGCAATAGCTATGGGAGGACGAGATATAAGCAACCATGGACGCTATGATCAGAGTCGAGGGGAGCGACTCACCAAGACAAAGGACGTGCACTGCACGGTCAACTATTTCCATCAAAAACAATGTCAGTGAGTAGATCCTCAAGAGTTTAAAGCAGACAAGCAGCAGGATTGTCATAGTGACAGTATGTGCAATATGACCAGTGACTTACCAGTGCCCAAGACAGATGTTTCCAAACCGATCCCAGTCCCGAGGACTGGCGCTGGGCGGGCTCCCCCATACTGACGATATTTGTCTTCCCCTTAACTAGACTGGCGATTCTCTTTAAGGTAACGAGCAGGGTGAATTATGAAGAGCAGTCGAAATTGTCGGGCGGCGAACGGACAGGAACTCCGCACTCGATTACCGAGGATGTCGCATACAAATTGGGCGCGTGGTCGTGGTGGGAGAGGGGTGTCTTCACGCTTGACGAGGAATTTGCTAGCGAACTAGACCGACACAAAGGGAACCGATACGGTCGCGGAGTGTATCAAGGATCGGAGAGCTCGAGAACAGAGCTCTCGAGGATAAAAGGCCTCAATGGAGGTCGAAAAACTGAGCGCAAACGGGGGGAAAACCAGAAGAATGAGGGAGCGAATGGACTAAAATATGAGGGATCCGGGGTATTCTTGAGACGCTTGTTTGGGCGGTGTGGATCACGGGGCAGGTGGCGGTCTAGTCCCTTTGCTTGTTCGGATGGGCACTTTTGGTTCCTCCCAGCCATACATTAAATTCGGTCCCAGAACCAAGTGCTTCGACTTTCGCCCAGAACTGCCCCCCTGAGGATCGCATCTGACGTCAGGTTAAGACATACATGCCTCGATCGACCTCGTCACTGCACTGCGCAGATCCAGCTGACGGAATATCTGCTCTTTGTACCCACAACAAAGCGCGCAAGCTGCAGATTACGCTACGTTCCGCTCATCATCAACGTGCCATGATACTATTTGGTAAGGTCCGATCGGCAACACACGGTATTGCAGTCAGCTAATATCACCGTGATATCAATAATAGTAAACATGCATGATCTGCAGTAAATCTTATCACGTTACAAGGCTTGGTCTTTTGACGGGAATCAAAGCCGACGGCCTAGCTACTCACACAATAACTCACAAAGCGAGGGCCAGACCCAGTCGAACGGATGTTTCTTGGCAGAACTCAGAACCTTGGTTTGTGTACCAAAGTTCCAGTTCCCCTCTATACTCGCAACGCACGGCCGGTGAGGCCTCGACGTGAGATTATGTCGTCGGTTGGGATCATCATCAGCATTCCTCTCACCGGGGTCATTACAGCCCAATCCATGCGGCTCGGACCGGAGGAATTTGGGGGCCTAACAGCAATCCTTCACTGATGCTTCGAATTAGGCAAGGTATGATAATCTTACAGGAGCCGATTCTCGAAGCCCGTAGGGTGGGCCTTGGCCATCGTAGAGACGAATGATTGACACAACACATATACATTGACATTACTTTCCGTGTTGAACGCTCTTAACTATCTAGAGAGGGAAGGAAGAAAGTGAGAGCATACAGGGTGGCCATTTTCACCGCCATGATATTAAGTAGAAGGGAGATCGTCGCAACTGCAACTCTCCTTGCGATAGCTTGCTATGTCATCTGACTGACACCTTCCGTTGGGTAACTGTTTTGCTTCTTCCCGCATGTCGGTGGTTCGAACCATTCCCCAACCATTATCCTTACTATATTAGGCCTTCTGGAACTCTACTCGACATACACCTTGCGAGAAAAACGTCTGAAAGAGTGTGGGCAATACACAGAAGGTCCCAGGTCTTATGATCACGTATAATGCAGCAGGTCCTTAAATACGGGCAAGTAAGCTCTACAGTAGAGTTATCAGCATAGATGGTTCAATTATGTGGACAGTGTCCGATAGTAGCCCCCTCAAGTCTAGGTCGTCTATTTACAAAATGTCTTTTGCCGTATAGCATAAGTAGCCATAACCAACCAAACATGAGTAATAAAAAATTCCAAAATAGATGCCATCTGGCCGTATTTCGCTTGATCGATTCGAAAAGGAGAACGTAATTAAGGAAAACCAAAGAGTGTATGTTGAGTCACAGGTATAGAAATGGGTGAGTGAGTGTGCAGGCGAAGGTAGGTATTGTAAAGGTTGAGTAAAACATGTCATCAAAGTTCAAAAAAGTAAAATGAGTGGGTATCATGACTGCGAGCATCTTGCAACAAGCAACATCATGTTCAGTGTACAGCCGTCATAGTTCCATTGTCGTTATTCCACCGCAATGTCCACATGGGAAGTTCATCCCTTTGCTTCGGCTCCTCGGGCTCTTCCAGGACAATTGCCTCGCTGCTATCTGTACGCCGCCGTGAGTGCCGCCTCTTGTCTTGCGGCACAGCGGGAATAGGACGACGGGGTGGTGGCCCTTGAGACGGTATGGGGGAGAAGCGGTGGATGGGGAGCGTCGGTGTCAACGGCGAGGCTGCGCTGGTCGATGGAGACGAAAGACCCTCGGAGAAAGCCAAGCTAGCACGGGGAGAAGGGAATGAGTTGATGGTCCTCTGCTCCTCGTCGGAAAAAGTGCTCTGACAAACGGAGCCTTCCCTTTCATTGCGACTCGCATTGGCTTGGACCGATTTAGGAGGGAAAGCAGGGCTTAGGCGTAAAAATGACATGTCTGATCCATAAAAAGAATCCCGCGAAGGAACAGACAGCATGGAACCTTGGTCGGGCTCCAAGCTACTGTTAAATCGGCTCTCCTGGAAGATACTGGGCGTAATCTTCCCCTTCCTTTGTCGCATTGCCTCGAGGAGATGCTCCTCCTGTCTCGTCACCGCGATGACTCGGCTTCTTCTATTAGTCTCCTTCTGGGAGGCAGAGGGGGGCTTTCTGAGCTGGCTCTGTCTCTGATGATTGAATATCGGATCTCCGTGGAAGAATTCCGGCTCAGAGATTGTGGGTATATCGCTGGATCGACGAGATTGACAGCTGGCCATATATGATGACCTCTCGGCTGAGGACTGAGACACGTCCCGACGAGCGGATTGAAGCCTCTGTGATGGGCGCGATCCACGGCTAGTGACGGACATCGGCTGATCAATGCTCCGTAATGTGCCCTTTGTCGCTTGTGCCGCCGATGCTGTACATATCTCGGCTTCGAATTCGCCGTAGGTTGCAACGCTGTCTCTAGCATTTCGATCTCTGTTAAGTCGATCGCTGTTGAGGTCCTCGTCATCATCTTCATCCTCCGAAGAGGAGAGGCAAAGCACGCTGGAGCTATTCAAGTCCGCAGTCTTCAGTGTAGTTCGACTACTCTTCTTTGGCACCGAGCACTTCTCCAATGCAGCAGACGCATGCAAATTTGGTCTCCTGGGTTCGGAGTGATTTGAAACACGATGTGAGCTTTGGCGAGAACGAGCTTTAGGAGATAAGTAGGTCTCCTTGCTCCACTCACTGCCAGAACTGTTTGAGGTAACCTTCCACAAGTTATCATCCGGGGCGCGAGAATCACCGGTTCGCCGTTTATCTTGGCCTTGGGATCGCGACTGTGAGCGGTTAGAGCGACCCTTGGTATTGCGCCGAGAATCTTGCTGCAGTTTCTGCAAGGCTAAATCCATCTCACTGGCCCGCACGGTCCTCTCCAAGGACGGATCAAGCCAGTTCGACGTCTTAGTCTCGTAGGATGATGCCTCAGGAGCCCGACCGCCGTAGGTTTGGTCGGTCGTCTTTACCAGGTGAGGTGGCGTCTTTGCGAGCTTGGTGCCAGCTGCATGGTCCTCAATGTTTTTTGCCTTGGTGACCGGATGCTCAGAAACTATGGAGATAGCAGAGGGAGAGGCCACCAAGCGTTGCGGCGACAGGAGTGGCTCAGCGGTTGCCTTGGGCTTGGGAAACAGTAGGGAGAGGTCGATCCGGGGTGGGCGCATTTTACGCTTTGAGTCTTTCATCGGGCCTTTCGGTTGCCTGAGGCTAGAACCAGACTCGGCGCTTTGCCGTGACTCTGGTTTACCTTCAGCTGCAGGCCCGAAGTCGGATGTCGCGACTCCAATGCCAGGAATTGTATTGGCTGATGAATCCCGAGAACTGAAATAGGAGAATAGGGCGGAGGCTGAACCTGACTGGTGGATTTTCTTTGTCGACGCTGGCATCGGCTGTCCAGGAGCATCATCTGGGCGAAACTCATGGCCCAGCAGGGGTGATGATGCCCGAACACGGAGGTGTTGTGGGGGAATAGTGGTCTCTGGAGCAGCAGTCGGGAAGGGAACAAAACCACCACTCTTCTGCGATTTGATCTCCGGAGCTCTCATGAAGCTTGGTCGTCTCGAGCGTCGTTTGTCGTCACGCTTAGAATGAGTCTCGTGGACGGAGGCATCTGTTGTGCCGAGGATTTTGTAGGCCTTAGATGTGTTCTCATTCCTCGAATCTCCCGGGCTGGCTGCGGGTGAAAGCACTCCACTTTTAGAGGCATGCATGCTGGAAGTCCTTGGTGGGATAGGTATGGACTGCTGGGGCATTAATAAATTTAGTATGGGCGTGACCCACGTCGACACTGCGGGCTACAATCCCGATGTCTCTTCTCCAAAAATCGAGCTATAACCAGATAGCAAGAAGTGGTGAATGTCAAAAGAGAGCAAGAGTTCTTTGAATCGAAGTAAACAATTGATCCCGACGTCTTTAGGTCGGAGGATTCAGGAGGTTTGGTAGAAAGCCGGAGGTGTCTTTCAATGTTCCCCACCCCAAGTCGGTGAGTACCCCCAAGCCCGTATGTTTACCGTTTCGGTCACTAAAGATCCTCGTTTCGGAGCGCCACAAGACACACCAAATTCGAAATTGAAGAAGCGGTCAAAAGAATAAAATCTCCAGGGAATTGGCGTTCTTTTGGGGAGCGTGTCAAAGTACCAAGCAGGGACTGGAGAGACGGATCAGGCGAGTCACGGAGAAATAAAATGACAACTAGAAGAAAGAGTAAAAGGGAAATTGGGAAAAGAGGGACTAGTATGCAGGTCCGGCGGAACGAGTGAAATATGACCTGGCTTAATAGTAGTAGCAGCTCGCAGGAATACAAAAGAGGGTCCCCGAGGAGCTTGTGAATGATGTAACAGATTTTGCAGGGGAATTGACCAGAATCAAAGAAGAACCGGCCGTGCGAGCCGAGAGACCTATTAGGTACTATATATAAGTGGCCGCGATTTCATTACATGTGAGCGGACAAAAGATGGGGGGGAAAGAATTTCAAAAAGCGTGGAGGGTCGCGGCTTAAGGGGCAAA